AAATGCTTCTATGATTGTCTTAAATTTTGTGGCGATACAGGACCATTTTGTGATCTTAATTGTGCACGTATATGCTATCCTCCTGAACTTGGACATGTTGCATCAAGGCCACCAGCTGAGGTTGTGCCCTCGCCGAGTAATAGTGAGGACTCCGACGAATAAATCTATAGGATATTGTAAGCATTAGATGTCTCGTTGTACTAGTTATCATGGTATGGGCTAATGATTTCATCTATCAGTCGAAATGAATGTGAACTTGGGAAATGATTGACCGATAAACTTTTAGATTTGGTTTTTATAAAAATGGCGAGTTTCTCAGTTTTTTTTCCCTACTAGTAACCACCAGTGCGATGCATGTGGATTTTATTATCTATGTGCTTTTTTACAAGGTAATTTTGTATATAAGTTGTGGAATAATGCAATGATAATGAGAATAGACATATAAACATATAATTAAACTGAAAAGATCATATATTACTGAAGACCTCCTTATAACAACATTATTGGGTTGATTCTTTGGTAGGTCATCTTCGACACGTATTAAGAATTTTAAACCATTTCGGTTGGTGACACGAGAGCTAACAACAAATAACTGACCATGTCTGAATACTGGTTTCTTAAGAAATAAGCCAACATGCGATAAGGATTGTCCCTGGCTCTTGTTTATAGTCATCGCGTAAGAAAACATAATGGGAAAATGCCGCTGCTGGAACTTGAAAGGAATTCTAACATCATAAGGAGTTATAGTCGTTCTGGGAATCAACATCTTATCACCACCATGATCTTCTCTGAGTATCTTACACTCAAAACATGAGTGGATAGCTTTGTCACAACAAGTCGTGTCCCATTATATAAACCCATAGAATGATCCTTGTACAGCAACAACATGACTGTAGTTCAAATCTTCAAATACAACTCATGTTTCGGTAATCCTAAATATTTGATACTATTCAAAAACTAGGGTGTATGGAGATCAGACAAAAAATTCATTATTACATTCTGATTTGCACGTACTATTAGAGCTCAAGTACATACGACCATCCAACAAATTCAACGATGTCTTGTACTCATTGATAGACTCGACCACATCCAACGCAGCACTAATATAGCCCTATCCTTCAAATAACTTGGATCGTCAGGTGCCTCCTTCAACATTGGATATATGCTTTCAACGATTTGAGCAATAAGATCATCAGATAGCTCAAGCAAACTGTCCTCGGCTATGTCTATCGCTGCACATCCATCGTTCGACCCCCCGATAGTTCCATCCCCGATGTTGGCTATCCAATCAGCAAACTGTGCAAGCTCATCACGTTCATCTGAATTAGCATCTGCTGCACTTAAACTATCCATCAACCTCCTCCATTTTGCTCGTGCATCTTTTTCATGTATCACCACTCATCAATTATGGAATCCACTTAGCACAAACCCAAATATCAGTTTCCAGTATTTATATGTTAAGTTTAGTTATAAATGTATAATTTGCGTAATGCAATTCATCAAATAGAGGTAGAACATAAATATTTGTATTTAAATTGACCTCCACAGTATCATAGAGTGAATCAACCGAACTCACAACATCTCCATCAACTAATTCTTGAAGTTCAATTTTCACAATAACGGAACTATGTGAATTTAAGCGGGCCCTTCTAAGTTGGCCATTGGTAGCTCTGTTCTAAAAGATTTAACTTTTTTTTATTTATCTATTATTGAATATTATAAAAAATTAACCATGCAAATTTCTATAGTTTATGGGACATTTTCTCCAGCAATCAGCATGGTTATATCCTTTGATGAGGTTACTGTACTTTTGATGTTTGTATAAAAAATAAAAATAAAATAAAAGACATTTTTTTTTAATAAACATTGTAAAAAGATCCAATAATTGAAATTGTGTGTATTTACCAAATATAATTGCTTCGTCGACTTTCTGAACATCAGATAGTGTGATGAATCTTCTAAAATCGAAATGAAAAATTGGAAAGTCGCTCTTGTACCTTATGTGTTTAATTATACCATGAATAGTTAGCCTGTATTGTGCAATGATTGATAAAATCTATCTATATATTAAAATAATAACCTTTTAAAGATTCCCGGCAATTTTTCCCGCCAATATATGTATATATAATCACCCGCCAATTGTCTTTCATTAACAGTGTCCTAAAACTTAGCAATTGTCTTTCCTTTTTTTTGGTAGACAGGATAGTCAACGGCTGATTTATTGGTACTTATTGGGTAGATAGGGTAACAAATCGGCTGATTTATTGGGTAGAATTTGTTATTCTCTTTCCTTTTTTTGGTATCAAAATAAATATTTGTAATTATTTTTGGTATCAAAACTAATAATTTTCAAAGTTTGTGTAATCAAATATTTTTAGATGGAACACCATAAATTCGAATCATTTATTTAATTAAAAAAAGAAAAAAATATGTGGCAAAAAATAAAAGAAAAAAAATTGATGTGGACAAGAATCAAA